CAAGGTGATACCTGGAATGGGGCAACCAAGCAGTTTTATCCATTCATTCATCATATGTGAAGTGAGCAACCAAATAAAATCCCTGCCTTCATGCAGTGCATGTCCCAGGACGGGGACTGAGCAATAAAGGAGCCACACAGTTCATCCAATGGTGGTTCATGCTGTGGAGGAATAGAACATGGGGCACATCCAAGAGGGGGTACTAGAGCTACAATTTTCTAAATGTCAGGAAGGTTTCACTGAGAAGGTGATGTTTGAGCAGATATCTGAAGTGAGAGAGGGATCCACGCCGCACCTGGAAGGATAAAGCCAGGCAAAGGGAATGACAAAATCGTGGAGGTTGCAGCGAGCCGAGATAGAGCAAGACTGTCTTAAAAAAAAAAAAAAAAGTCCAAAGCAGTGCAGGGAGGTCTAGAGGCTGAGGCATTCCATAGCTGGATCTGCAGGTACAACTTACCTTGTTAGATTTTATTAGTATTATTTTTAGACAGAGTCTTGCTCTGTTGCCCAGGCTGGAGTGCAGTGGTGTGATCTCGACTCACTGAAACCTCCTGCCTCAGCCTCCCGAGTAGCTGGGATTACAGGCACCCACCACCACACCTGGCTAATTTTTCTATTTTTAGTAGAGACAGGGTTTCGCCATGTTGAGCAGGCTGGTTTCAAACTTCTGACCTCAGGTGATCCGCCCACCTTGGCCTTCCAATGTGCTGGGATTACAGGCATGAGCCACTGTGTCCGGCCTAGATATTTAAGAGAATATTCTGATTACTCTGTGGAGACAGGATTTAGGAGGGCACAAGTGGAATCGGAAAGATGGGGCCTTAACATCCTAGAGACAATGGAAAGGCGAGGGTAGTGACAGGAATGAACATTTGCTGGGTGATGGCTCTGGGCTGAGTGTGGGACTTCCTGGCGTGGTGTTTGTTGCTGCTTTTTGCCACTGGGGCTCAGGCCCAGGATTCCATGTGTGATGGATGGTTACAGGGCAAAAAGCTTATCCAGCATGACCCACATAAAAAGCCTAGTTTGATCCTACTTCCAAAATGTTTCTGGCACTGGTTCCCCTGCTCCTGGCCCTTGGGTGGGCCTTTTGTGAGCTCTCCTGGATGGCCGTTGCAGCAGCTTCCTCCTGGCTGAACCCCTCTACTCTAATCACCCTCCTCAAAATTGTGCTCCACCATTTGGTACCCGTGTAAAAATCTTTGGTATTTTCCTTGGCCCCGGTACTACCTGTTTGCAGAGACCCAAAACTCGAATGTCTGTAGGAGCCTGGTGTAACAAAATCAGCAGGGCTGGTGGCAGCGATCAATGTAGAGAGTACACACATGGCTGGAGGCATTCAACGAAAAGAGAAACGAGTTGTACCGGCCAAAGCAGATGCATCTGTCATCAAGTCAAGCCCTGGTGTTCCCTCTTTATAATCTGTAAAGGCTCAAATCCTGAGCTGCTCAAACAGCGGCCTCTGCAGCCTGGCCTCAGTGTCTCTGGCTTCCTCTCTGTGCACTCAGTACTTTGGCCGCACTATACCTCTGTCCCTGGAAGGTGCTCTGTCATGCCTGCTTGCTTCTGTACCTGATTTCTCCTGACTTTTCTATTTCCTGCCCCCCAAAAGCTATCAACCTTCGGGACATAGGTCCAAGGCCACCTTCTCTGTGAACCTCTCCCATCTTCCCACAGCGTGATTGTTGGTTGCAAGCATCATAGACGAGTCCCCCTGCCCTGACTCAGATGGTGTTCTCCAGGGCAGAAGCCAACTGACGTAATAGCCACAGCATAGCCCTCAACGTGACGTAGACAGTGCTGATCCTTAGTTCTCTCCCCACACTCTTGTTCAGCATGTAACTTAGCAACTGCATTGATCAGTCAAAGGGGAAAATCAACCCAACACAGCCACTGTTTTTGCACCTCTGATTTGGACAAAGAGGGAAAGTACTGAACCCAAATTCAGAATCAGGATGCAGTTGAATTCTGCACTAGGAGAGAGGCCCCCTGCTTGCTTTTGTTAGAAAGACTGGGAGAGCTGAAGGTAGAGGATGACATTTACATGGAGCTAAGGATTTTGTCTTTGCTGGTGAAGCAGAGATGGAGGTTATCCCTGGCAGGGGAGTCTGCAGGACACACCCTGGAGGAATGAGAGTGCTTGCCAGGCATACTGTGAGACGGGCCAAGGGTCTAGAGGCCATGGTGGGTGGGGAGGGCAGATGGTGGACTTGGGATGTCACTGTGTGGGGAGTTTTGTGTGTTATGGTCAGACATCCCAGCCTGATCAGAGAGGCAGGGAGTGTGCTGGGGAGGTAGGAGGGGGAGTGTCGGGGATGGCACAGGGAATGTCAAAGTTTCTAAGTATATCGTGAGATGGTTAACTCTAGCTACAGGGTAGAAGGATTTGAGGCGGGGTGGAGCAGTAGGGAGACTGGAGAGGAAGTGTTTGCTGTAACAAGAGCTCCCAGGCCGGGAGCGGTGGCTCATGCCTGTAATCCCAGCACTTTGGGAGGCTGAGGCAGGCAGATCACCTGAGGTCAGGAGTTCGAGACCAGCCTGGCCAATATGGCGAAACCCGTCTCTACCAAACACACACACACATACACACAAAAGAGCTGCTCCCAGGCCACGCCAAGGCCCAGCCAGAGCCATAGAGAAGGACGAAAGTGAGGCAAAGGTGATGAAAGTGAGATCTATTCAGAGGCTGAATGGAGGACTTGGGGGGCTGCGTATGTGCTCTGGGAGGGAGAGGGGAGAACGGGGGCCTAGGTGCAGGCCTCCAGCTGGGAAGGGAATTCTGTCTTTGACACCTCTCATGTCCTGGACTCTGGAGCTGGACATCCCACAGCCCTGTGTGGTGGGTTAAAAGATCCCCTTTCACAACAGAGGAAGTTGCTGAGCTTCAAGATTAAGGACCTGCTCAAAGTTGTGCAGTGCGGCAATGGGGGGTGCCAGATTAGCAACTGGGTCTGGACCCCACTACCCCACTGCTTCCCACAGGAGTTCGCGCTGTCACGGCCTCAGGCCTCAGCCAGGGAGGGGTTGGAGTCTCATGGTTCCTGTCCCCGGGGGGAGGTGAGAAATTCTTCTCCATGAGCATCTCTCCTTGCCTTGGCTTTTTCTACTTTGCCCCAAGGCATTTTGCTTTACAGCTTGACAGAACCAATGTCTCTGGAAATGTGTTTCTTTTCTCCGGAAGATGCATTTGGACCCAGAAACTCTAGGCCTCTCAGAGGGTCTTTTGGGCAAAGCTTTAGTCATGGTGGAAAGGGAGGTGGTGTGCGCTTGGCCCTCGGCAGGCTGCAGGCCAGCCAACTGTGCAATGTTGCGCTGGTTCCTTCAGGTCAGCAGAGAGGACTCCCAAAGGGCCTGGTGATACTGCCACCTGTTCACAAGAACTACAGCCCTGCAGGATAGGCCTGAGTTAGGGGACGCACCCACCACCGTGGCTCCTTAGGAGTTCAAGAAGCACAAGCTGTGGCCTGACAATGCCCCTCTAGCTTCCTGCTAGGCCTCCAGAGCCTGGCGTTGCTCAATCCTTGTAATCCTTGATTCAAGTATTTCCTGTGCCACCCCTCTCACCATTTGGCATTTCCTGCTACCAATCTGGAAAGCGGTATCAGAAGTCTGTATATTAAGTTGTGAGAGAGATGGAGAAGGATCTTTTAAAGTCAGTTGCCATCTTCCTCTTTCCCCATCTGCCTACAGTCACTGCTAACAGGGTGATCGCAATGTCCCCAGGCACCGCGTGGCTGTGGGGAGCAGGAGGCAGAGTTGAGAATGTTTACCTTTTTGGATGACTCAGAGCCAGGAGATGATAGGGTGTGGAAGGCAGGAGCCAGGGGGGTACTGCCTGGATGGGCTCTGGGGTTCGTGAAAGCTGGTGCTAGGCCGGACACGGTGGCTCACGCCTGTAATCTCAGTACCTTGGGAGGCTGAGGCAGATAGATCACTTGATGTCAGGAGTTTGAGACTCGTCTGGCCAACATGGTGAAACCCCATCTCTACTAAAAATACAAAAATTGGCTGGGTGTGGCGGCATGCACCTGTGGTCCCAGTTACTTGCTTGAACCCGGGAGGCAGAGGGTGCAGTGAGCTGGGGTCGCGCCACTGCACTCCAGCCTGGGCAACAAAGTGAGACTCTGCCTCAAAAAAGAAAAAAGAAAAAAGAAAAAGAAAAAATGGCTGGCGCTGGTGCGCCCTCACCCGCACCCACCTTGGTCCAGGGGCCTCCTGTAGTCCCCACTCCCACCTCTCCCACTGCTTCCCACCTCCCTTCAATGTAGGCAATGAAGTTGAGCTTGGACTAGAACAGGCGTCTTGCTCCAATCCTCCTTGTCTAATTTGCAGGGTTTTAACGTGTATTGCATTCACTATGGCACAATGTGCTTTGTCCTTGTCTTGTTAATTTGGCAACATACAGAGCAAACCCATAAATCTCCTCCAGAGTTTATTGAATGGCTTTTCATGTAGTTACCAAATTGTATTTGCCATCTCCCTTAATCTTTTCACATGCATATTTGAAAGAATTATTCAAATGAATGATAATTACATCCTTGGAAAGTGGAGAGCAGGGGGGAGAGGGCTTTGAAGGCTGAGACAGAAAGCCTTGCCTCGGGCAGGCCCCCACCCCCACCCCAGGGGCTGAAGGGGGACCCTCTGTGCACTGACACCCACCCACCCAGACCTCTGGACAAGAGCAGGAAGTGCATTTAAACACTGTACTTGCCATTCTTTCAGTGCTCTGTTCCTCACTGAGTTCTCCTGGGGAACTAGGAAGGGAATCTGTTTGGTTACCTCATTAAACTTTCCTATTTTTAATCTCATGGTGAATTTGTGCAAAATAGAAAGCACAGGGAAACGCCAGCGGCAGCCGCTTCAGCATAAAAGGTGTTGTGTTTGCAGTGGGCATTGTCAAGAGTCTGAAAGCTAAATAGGCCTTCTCTAAAAACACCCTAGAAGGTCCCTGAGCATGATTGGAAACATTAGAAATAAATGTACTGCCTTTTCCTCTCCAGGGCTACAAAGAATGCTACAGTGGAGACAAGAGGCCAGACTCTGAAATAACCTCCTTTGGACACAGAACCTACCACTCTTGCTTATCAGAGGCAGCGGACCCTGGATTTTTCCAGGGCCTTGAGCACTGAACCCTGGTCAGCTGGCTTGAGTCCCAACCCAAGCCCATCACCAGAAGCCTCAAGACAGGAAGATCTCAGTGAAACCTTTCCCTCTAATCCAAGTGACATCTTTGTCGCAGGTGTTTGTACATGAAAGCAGAGTGATGAAGGTGTGGGGGTCCACGGAAGAAGTAAAAATACAGCCCTAGTTCATATTTTTCCTAGTCTCTCCCTGTTCCCAGGTAAAGTTATAGCATGTTCAAGGATGTGCACTTATAGCATAACTGGTTTCATTCCTCAGACCCAAGTTTGTGTAGAATAACTCATACCAAAGATGACAAAGGGCCCGTTCCTAGCCCTGCCTTGCAGCACACTGAAGTGGGAAAAAGAATTCTGAAAGCGTGCACAGTGGGAATTGAATCATGAGGTTGTCTTTGAGCAAGTGCTTTTAGCTCTTTGAGTTTTAGTTTCCTCATTTCTAAAATAGGGATAATGCTTGTTTCATAGAATTTTAATTTGTGTAAATATATAGTACGGGACCCTCAGATGTGAGTACTCTTCTTGCTAGCCTCATCTCTCCAACTTTGAAAGCAGCAGTTGTAAACTAGAAGGGAATGCTTAACGGAAAAACAGTTGCCCAATGTCATCTGACATCTCCCCCAAGATGTACATCGTACACCTGAGACCACACAGCAGCTATTGCTCTGTCCAGGTTGGCTCTGTAGGTTCTTATGGGAAGGGACCGACATTCCTCTTCCCTTGGGTCAAGGGTGTGTGCGGTGGGGAAGAGGTGCAGACAGGTTTGCGGAGCGCCACCTTCAGGAGTAAAAGTGGAGTGCGGGGGATGTTAGTGATGCAGTCCGAAACTGCTTAACTGTGAGATTCTGAAACCCTTTTGTAATCATCATTTGTTATTCCACTTTCCCTATTACAATGCAGATACAGAGAAAAACCCTTAAACCAAGAAGAGCTGAGTGATGGGAGTAGCAAGGAAATGGGTTCTAAGAACTCTTCGAAGGTTAAAATACCACTTCTGAAATAGACCTCACCATTGAATATATCAAATTACATTGATTGTTAGAATTCACACTCTTCCACAGCATAACTATAGAGACAGGGAAGGCTCCATTGAGAACGTCTCAAAATTACTATGCATTTAAATACCCCTAGTTATTTACATAATAATGGCTGTCACTTACTAAACACACACTATGGATTTGCATGTTCAAAAGGTTTTACTTGTTTCAACTCATTTAGTCTTAACAACCCTTGGAGATGGGGGCAATTATTACTCTGTTTAGAAATTTGCCAATCTGCTACATGTATGATGTGTGGAGCTGGGGTGTGTACTCTTAACCCAAGGCTGATGACTGCACCTAGAGAGAAATACATTTTTTAAAAGGTTATTTTAAAAATCTTTAAAAAGGGAAACCTTTAAAATGTTAAAAAAATTAAAAATCCTTTAAAAACACAAAAATGAAAACCATTAACTCTAAAACAGCAACAGAGGCTGAGGTGCAAAGCCTAACAAATAAGGATGTTCAACTAATGAGAGACCCAACGGCAGGCGTTTTGTTTTGAATAAATTCACTATCACAGTTGCTTTTTACCAAACTCCCCTTCTCACATGCCACTTCATTCATCAATGAGTATTAATCCATTCTTCTCACCCAATGGTATAGGTGGAGAAGAAATAGTCCTTACCCCAGGTAACACTGTTGCCTGATAGAATGTTCTCCTGGATTCTTGGCTTAGCCTGTGGAAGTACCTGGGGAACTCACACCTAATGCTTATTTTGAATATGCTGACTCCTCTGCCAACAATCAAACATCAATAATCAAATCTGCTGACAGAGCCAAAATAAATGGTCTAAATCCACAAGCTGGCAGTTACACAGCTTACAGTAATCGAGTAGGGGGAGAAAAGAATACTTAACAATGCAAATGGCAATTTTAGAGAACAATAAGAAAAGCAAAGGTCCAAAAAGCAATGTAGGAGGAGAAACCTGCTCTCTGAAGTAGTGGCTTCTCACGCAGTGACATAGAACGTCCACATGCTAAATCATGAAGATCATGACAATACGGTGACTGCATTGGAAACAGTATTTCATTAATAGAAAATTATTAGGACAATTGGGTCAGGAAGATGCTGCTGTCTAGAATAGTTGGGTTACAGCGAAGATTGCTGTTTTACTTCAGCAAGAACAGGGTGGATACGGCATTGTATTTGTTTGCATCTGTCCTTGAGTTATCCTTACGCCCACTGTCATCACCACCATGTAGCTAGTGACAATAAGCCTGTGAGATGGGCATTCTGATCATTTCACAGCTGTGCATGAAAAAGACTCTGAAAGAGAATTTGCCCAAATTTTACATATTGTGTGTCTCATATATATAGTTACCATAGTAATATGTGCAGGACTGAGATTCAAACACAGCCCTGGAGTTCCTGAGAGCTGTCTGCAATCTCTCCCAATCTGTGCAGGAATTTCACAGAAGCAGAGCCTTTCCCCACAGTGATCTAACTTTTCCAGCCTCGACTATTAAAGAGATAAAAATTTCCATTTCTGTTCATTCAAATCTATTCAATTTATTTTTACAAACAAAATCCTTATTCCTGTTGGCTATGTGGCCCTGCACATTCCAGGCCAGCTAAAGAAGTTGAACTCCTTGAAGGGGGCATGTATGTACCCTCGTTCTCTGTGCCCCACTACCTGTCAGGGTGTCATGGACATCAGTGCTCAAAGTTTTGTGCATCCTAGTAAATACCACTGCACCAACATGAGTCTTTTCGATACATTTTTTTTTTTTTTTTTGAGACGAAGTCTCGCTCTGTCACCCAGGCTGGAGTGCAGTGGCACGATCTTGGCTCACTGCAACCTTCTCCTGCCTCAGCCTTCTGAGTAGCTGGGATTACAGGCATGTGCCATGAAGCCCAGCTAATTTTTCTTTTTGTATATTTAGTAGAGATGGGATTTCACCATGTTGGCCAGGCTGGTCTCGAACTTTTGACCTAAAGTGATCTGACTGCCTTGGCCTCCCAAAGTGCTGGGATTACAGGCATGAGTCACTGCGCTCGGCCCTTTCAATACATTTTAAATCAATTGGCAGCCCTCATAATCAGAAAAGAGGATGTCGTGCCATCTAGCATTATCTTACAAACTCCCTGGACGAGGTCCCTACCAACAATACTCCTAGCCAGACACCTGATGATACTTCAAAAGCACCGGGAACCAACACTATAATGACGGGTTCAGGAAAAAAAAACCACTCTCATCATGCCTTAAGTTATGTCTAGTTGTCTTTGACATTTAATTTCAATTTTCATAGAAATTAATTATGGCTCTAACATTTACATTGATACTGACCATGTGTTTATCTTACACAATGCTCACAATGTTAAGCTCTGAATGCGGGCAAAGTAGAGAGGTATGATGCTTTTATTTATTTAGCATCTATGGTGCCATATGAGATCAATTTCTTCATTAAAGAAAAACAAACCAGCAGAAGAAAAAAGAATTTTTAAATTTTTTTCTCAGTGGCAGAATCACATAGCTGTTTTGATATAGATTTCCAGTAGATCTAAAATACTGCTTTGGGCATTATAAAGATTCCATTACAGAAATACACAGAACAGAGGATAAATACAATCACATCAGTTTATCAGATGGTTGCACTGAACATCTTTTGCCTTACTTTTCCTATAAGAAAAGTTTGCAGGATCAAATAAAAAATTCAACTAGCAGCATACGACTCTGGTTTGGGAGAAAAAACCCTGAAAGGAAAAGATAAAATCAATAACCTGGTACACTTGCAATGAAATGCTTTGTCTCTGCAGAAGTCTGCATGTTTGTGAATATTTCACATAAGAAATTTCTAATTTCAAAAAAAACTGAAGGAATTCGAACACGTATTCTTCATAAAAAGAAACGTTTGCTTTTCGATGCCTTCTTCTCTTGGAACATAAGCTGCTTTAAGAAAGGTGGCGAAAGCTTTAATGAACAACATTTTGTTATTCATCTGAAATACTTGGACAGAAAATTGGCAAATTTGGTATATGGTTCAAGAAGTAAAACGTTAGGGATTTTATAAAGCTAAGTTAAAACATGCACATTTTCTACTGCCAAGTGGCCAAAACCTTAAATTGTCTTTAAATCTAAAAGACTAAGGATCTTAGGGGAAAAGCCACTTTCTAACATATAACAGTTAACACTGCAACAGGAGTTAACAAGCAAGTTAACCGAAAGTATTAAGGAAAAACAAAGTAACCACTTAAAAAAAAAAAACATTGTTAAAACCCAGAGTTGCATTCCAATTTTAAAATAAAGTTTAACTATTTAAGTGGATAATGATGTTCATGCTGTTTAAATGTTCTTATAAAAATGATATTATCCATGCAACAGCCGGTATAAAGCACTGTGAATGAACATGCTCAGCAGCGTGTACTTCCAACGAACTCAGAATTACACATGATCATATGAAGAATATCATTGACCAAGGACAGTCCCAAAGCATCTAAAAAACCTAAAGATCTGGACAGACAAAGCAGAGATACATTTTATTTCTTATAAAGAGTTACATTGTAACATGCCACTCACATTATAGCTACGATTACACTAGTCACAAGTTTTAATCTTACAGAATAAAGCTATAGCATGTGAAATTACAATATATTTATCTTCTTTAAAACCATTTTTAAAGAATGGCAGATATACCATTTATTAGAAGCCAAAACCAACAGAAAAATGTAACTGGTAAATGCAGCCAAAATGTATTTGTGGCTAATTAAATGCTGCAACAGATTTTTTTTGGTCCATGAGGCTGTTAAAAAACAAAAGGTTGGTAAGGGATTCCCATTTATCAATAGAAATGAAAAGTTCATGAAAAAAATTCAATACATATTAAAACATTTTAACAGAATGCTTTTTTTGTGTGTGGTGAAGCACAAGAAATATCTCTAATAAATAACGGGTGTAAACAGGTAAAAAACTCAAATGAATTAGGATGCTTTAATATGAATGTCTAACAATCCTCTTTTGAAGGATATCAAAAACTACCAGATTTTCTTTGAATGTCAACTGAAATGCAATTATGATTTCTTCTGTTAACATATACTAGGATTTACTTCTTGAGATCAGCAAACCCTGGCCCACAGGCCAAATCTGACCTGCTTCCTGTTTCTGTAAATAAAGTTTTATTGGAACACAGCCACACTCATTTTACATGTTATCTGTGGCTGTTCTTATGCTATACAGCCAGAGATGAGTAGTTTTTACAATGGTATTTTAGGCCCATATGATTCCTGTATTATTTACTATCTGATCCTTTACAAAAAATCCGCCCCTGCCCTAGGGGGCTAAGATAGTGTATGTTTTTTTACTTTTATTAACGCTCTGTTTTCTCTTATTCTAAGGCATGTGTGTAATCCATCTCTTTTTAATACCTCACTTTATTTGTCAGTGTATACCTTGGAAACTTAACATGTTAGCTGAATTACCATCTTTAATATATTTGGAACATAAGTATATGTCCAACCAGAACCTGTT